GCATATACCAGCTGCTAAAGTATGGAATGAAGAGTGTATGAATATATATTGGTCTGACTGTACGTTATGGACTTGATCCATGACTTTAACTTGGATTTTTGTTGTCAGCACTCTATATAGGGATGCCATAATAAGTATTAGAGTAAGGCTTAGGGCATCTTTAATGATCTTTAGATATTTATATGTGATTTACAAATAATTCTTTGAACTCAAATCTGAAAATACTTGCAAAGTCGTATTACTTTTTACTTGATTCAAGAAATATGTAGTAGCAACTCTAAAATCATTATTTTTGCTGTCCACTTTTGAATGAACGATGTTGCAGTTGTTGCATTTATTTTGAATGTTTATTGATTAATTATTAATAAGTAAAAAATCTTTATTAAGTTAATACTATCGCAAACAATGAAATTGAAACAACATATATATATATTTTTTTGTTTTTATTTCTTAAAAAGCATTTATATTTTAAACATTAATCAACCTTCTGAAAGGTTATAAAACATTAATTTGTCAAGGAACCAATGATGACTGGAGCTTAAACATAAGGATGGGCTTAACAGATAATACATAACATTAAATATTACATTTGTTGCTCAATTTAATTTAAACGTACAAGAGTTCCGGGGCCACTGGTGTGGAGATGCTTTAATCTGCGGCGAGCCAAGTGTGCAAGCCAAAGGGTTGACATGGTTATGCAACCGGCCATTGTCACGACTCGTATGTCGATTTATTTCTTGCATAGTTGTTGGAAGGCCGAAGTCATTAGGAGATGTCTCTAAGCACCTTGTTCTGCAAAAGTTGAATTTGTTTTACTCAAGATTGTGCAGCTGTGCTCCCAAATGGAATTCCGTATGCTCATGTGGGCATGAGAAATAACATATATGAAATAAATATTAATGTGTAGTTAAAATGTATTTTGTTGTTTTCATTATACATGTGTGTGTGTGTGTGTGTGTGTGTGTGTGGGCGCGTACTACATAATTTGTATCTCCATAGAAGTCGCTCTTTGCATATTGTTTGTTAATTAACGGCATTTAATTGCCTTTTATTGCGCTTAATTATCACAAGCGATATGAGCCATTGTGAACCATGGTGGCAGGGCGGAATAGTTGGTTAGTTGGATAGATGGGTAGCTGCTCCACCTTTGGCCCGCCCGCACGGCCATGGATATGGACATACCACAGATGATGACAGACAGAGAAAAAGTTAGCGAGAGAGAGAGAGAGAGAGAGAGAGACAAAGAGAGCGCTGACCGGCCTGACCGGAACGTAGTATGTAGTTGCTTATGCGGCCCATAAATTTCTATATCTACTCACACACACACACACATGTACACACATAAATATATATATGTGTACATTCCGCATGACCCTGACTGTAATTGCTGCTTTTCATTGGCGTTGCACCCGCTTTTAATTTGCCAAATTAGCAACGAGCCTGAGAGCGTTGCCAATAGGCTACCCACGCAACAGACAGGTGGACGGACTGACTGGCTGACTGACTGACTGACTGGCTGGATGCCTGGCTGCCTGGCTGCCTAACTAACTAACTAACTAACTATTCATACTCCAGCCCCTGCCTGCCTCCCAGTATGGTTATAATTATACACATACATGGCAACGCCTCGCATACAAAATGCTAATACTCGCATTATACTACTCAGCTCACTTTGTATTTGTATTTAATATTCGTTCTTATTAAGGCATGCGTTGATGTTACGCGGCGTGGGCGTGCCTGCACTCGGCCAGGTGAATTGTGGATGGTGAATGGTGAATATGAATATGAATGTGAGTGTGAATGTGAATGTGCATGTATAACATGGAGTTTCAGTGAATTGAAGTTTGCTGCTTTTCCAGCTTGTTGCCCCAATTAATGAAAGTGTAGCCTCGCATTCAAAAGAAATGTGAAAATTTTCATATTTTATTGCCTCTAATTATAATACTGGTGGCCATAAATTTGCTTTCTTTCAGCTGCTGCCGCACTACGCAAAACACATGCATAAACACAGCACTTGAACACTTCGTCCGCCTCAAACAGCCAATCGGAAGACTTAAGCAACAAACTTCAACGGAAGAAGTTTCAACAATATATATAAGAAATTCAACAAATAACATCAATAAAAACCCTCAGAGACTGACATCTTCTCGACCAGGGAGAACTGTATATATATTTTCGATATTTTGATCAAATATAATCTATAAGGTTGGATAAATATGTAACTATTTATAAGCAGGAAAGTTTATTATCTGATCATTTGTGGAATATTCAATTATGCAAATTATGAGGAAGCATAGATTGCAATTGTATTTGCATATCAACAACATTAATCGAACCTACACATACAAAACTTGTCGAAGTCTAACATTTGCTACAACAAACTAAAGAAATAAACATTTGCTGGGTTGAAAAAAAATGTATGTAAGAATTAAATAACTATTTGAAAATTGTGACTAAATAATTTGTTGTTTTATTTTAATTTTGATTGTCTGACAATTTAAGAAACAAATCTATCTTTTGTAATAACTCCAATTATTATAATAAGCTTTTGTGTTTTAAATGGCAAGCAATTATTAAAAAAAAAATTACTTAATAAGTTAACAGTTGCAAACAGGCGTTAAATTGCCGGCGAGAGCATTGGTATATAAATTTATGTATGTTTATATGTATTTACTTGAATCATTAAAGGTCGTCAATAAATGAACAAACCAAATGTCGTAATTCTATAATCTATAATCGTTAATTCCACTTGAAAAGTTTGTCTAAGAGTTAAGTAAATCGTTTTAAATTGATTCAGTCTCGCAATTGTACGTTAACATAAATACGTACTTATGTATAAATAAAATATTCTCACTTGTTTTCAATTAAATATATTCTAATTTTAAGTTGCATTTTTTAAGTTGGTACTATTCAATGACATTTTATATTTAACTCTTATTACAAAGTCATTATTATGATAATATATAAATAATATATTGAATGAATTAAGATTCCTGAAAATATGCATGCAAATAATTATTTCATCAAATTTGTATACGATGGCGATGCAATTGGGTGAAATTCGAGCATACCTTCGAATAATTTTCGATTTTTATTATATAGCAGACCAAAATCAGATACATTACCCATCTTTCGACATCTCGCAGCTTTTTGGCTAGGCTGTCAAAACAAACTTATTCAATCGAGAAATATTCGATACTTCATGTCCATTGCTGTCACCGTTTTTAATCGTTCTCGGTCTCAACCCAAATTAAACATATATCAAACTTGTGGTTTCCAACTTGTGCAGACGTCATACATCCCTCTGAGGGACAAACATATGCATACAAATATTTAAGTAGCTAACCAAAAACGTTAAGAACCTGTGAGAAAACGTTTTGTGGTTTGCTAGCTGAAGAAACAGAGGGAAACTTTATAGTCTTACGGAATGGCCAAAGGGCCTGACTACGCTCGAACAGCAGTTGGCCGGCTTGGCTTGTGATCCTTGAAGCCCTGCTGCGGTTGCACCACATATAAATTTGTAGACAAATGGATTTTTAAATGTTTCAAAACCGCAGTCCGAAAGAGGTCAAGCTAGCGTAAAATTATGATGAAACCTTCTAGCGTGCATAGGTGACACGATTCACACACACACACACAACATATCTATACACGAATATATATACATATATATATATAATGTACATATATATTTTCATATGCATTACGTCAATATTGGAACAGCTATAAGTCGTATCAGAGAGCAGGCAACACACTCTTTGGACCACGGCGCTTTCTACTCACTCTTAATCGATACACAGGCTACACAAACTGTATATGTATGTGCACACACACACACACACACACACACACACTCACACACACATTCATACACAGAGTAACATACACTTACGCATAACGGTGCTTTTAATTTGAAGGAGTCAATCAAATCAAATCAAATGAAAAGATCAAATCGCTGCTCTCTCTCTCTCTCTCTCTCTCTCTCTGTCTCTGTCTCCCTCTCTCTCGCTCTGTCGCACTCTCATTTTTTAGCTGCTCGTTTCTCTCTGTCTGTATTTAGGATCGTTTGGGAATCGATGGTTGCGTTTCAGTGTGCAATAAAGCTCATGATCGGTCCGCTAATTATGCGTAATTATTGATTATTGCGGGCTTTTCACTAAGCCGCCAAATTGCGAGTACGTGCGTCTGTCTGCGAAGTGACCTTGATTTGACCTTGAAGCTGCTGATCACATTAGCAAAAAATTCCAAAATGCTTTGCGGTCAGCAAAAAAAAAAAAAAAAAAAAAACCCAAAGCTAGTTTCCCAGTGCAATTAAGTTAAGTTTATACAAGTCGATATATATTAATCCATTTGCGCATCTTATAACTTTTTTCTGAGTGTAAGCATCAATCGATTGAGTGGCATATTTCTTGGAAGTGTTGTTATTAAATGAAAATACTTTTAATTTTATTTACTTAATTATAACAACATGTTGTGGCAGATACCTCGCAATATATTACGATTGTCTTTTTGTTATTTGTTAATTTTGACAGTTTATTTTAAATAATAATGAGGCCGTCAGTTTTGGAGTGTGGTCTTCTGCTCCTCCTTTGATGCTATCGATTTCAATGAAGTCTTCATGATTGATTTTTGATGAATAAGAAATTTGACTTACAAATATTTAGTGGACAATTTGATTTCTATATAATGAAATAAATCTATTCTTATTAGTTTAAGCGGCTAGTTGCTGTTGTGCTTGTAGAGAAATTATTTTATTTTTCAGAATTTCCTTTCCGTATTTCTTAATATTTAAAATGCGCGCGCAGTTAGCGCCATCCATTGCCCGCAGTGCCAACTAACAAATTACAAGGTAACACAAAGCTAAATGATATGTTAGAATATCGACAGCAGATGTGTGTGCGGTTGTGCTGGTTGACCGCTGGCGGCGCTTTGCCTGACAGCTGTTTACTGAAATACTCAAATCTCCCTTGCTCTTTCCTTCAACAGCAGTCGGCAGCAGAAGCAGCGTTGCTACGAATTTTATTTAATCTCGACCGGAATCAGGACGAAATGTAAATACATATCAATTAATTTTGAAAAATCGAATAATAAACGAAATCCGTCAACAGATTCGCAGGTAATTATGCTGAATGCTTAATGCGGACAGTCAACAATCAACACAACATTAAAAGGTTAAGGTTATGTTGAATGCTGTTGTGGCCAAAAATGGTAAAAAGCGACGCGACCACAAATTATTTCTGTTGCAGCAACTGCGATATCAACACACAACGCAACACAACAAATCAATATGCCACCTAAGAAGCACGAGGAACACGAACGCAAGCCGCTAATCGGACGCATTGGGACGAATCTTCGCATCGGCATCGTAGGCGTGCCCAATGTGGGCAAGTCAACGTTCTTCAATGTGCTCACCGAGAGCGCTGCTCCAGCGGAGAATTTCCCCTTCTGCACCATTAAGCCCAATGAGAATAAGTATTACCAATTACCATATCTATATACATATACATGTACATATATATATATATATATATATATATATATATATCTATGTATATGTATATGTATATATATAGCGCCGCTGGCAAATATTTATTGCAATAGCAATTTGCGTTGCCTTTTCGGATAATCATTGTAATCAATGGCATTTGAACAATTTTGTTGCTGTTGTTGCCTTTGCCGCAGCTTCCAAGTGGGCGTGTTGCGCACCGTCTCTCAGGCAATGGCAATTTGTCGAATCTAGTTGCAGGCCAAGATTTCAGTCAGCGGCAGCAGGAGCAGGAGCAGCAGCAGCAGCAGCAGCTGCTGCTTCGTATGCAAATTGCGCGCGCGTTTAATTTGAGCGACTTCATTTTGTAGTCTGGCTGAGATGACTCGCGGCTTTTCTCTGTGGTGATTGTAAAAAATTATACAAAATTGCGATGATTGGCCAAGATGGACAGATAGACAGACGGACGGATCGATCGATCGATCGATCGATCGCTCGATTGACCGCCAACAATTGAAAGCGAATTCCCCCAAAAACCCCGAACAAAAATCTCAACTAACATGCTCTTTCTCTCTCTCTTTCTCTCTGTGTATCTGTTTCTTTCTTTTGCATTACCCATACGTCGTGTGCCCGTACCCGATCAGCGTTTCGACTACCTGGTGGAGTTCCACAAGCCAGCCAGGTGAGTAGTGTATTGAGTGTCAAACCGAAAATCGTTAAACTGTATTTACTTTTTGCAGTGTGGTGCCGGCTTATCTAAATGTGGTTGATATTGCTGGGCTGGTCAAGGGCGCCGCCGAGGGGCAGGGGCTGGGTAATGACTTTCTTTCGCATATCAGTGCGTGTGATAGCATTTTCCATTTGTGTCGCGCCTTCGAGGATCCGGATGTGACGCATGTGGAGGGTGAGGTGGATCCAGTGCGCGATTTGGAAATCATTGCGGAGGAGTTGCGTCTCAAGGATGAAGAGAAACTTCTGCAGTGCCTTGACAAGCTGGAGAAGGTTGTTGCCCGCGGCGGCGACAAGAAGCTCAAGCCCGAATACGACTCCATGGTGAAGATCAAAGAGATCTTGGTCGAGCAAAAGCGTCACTTGCGCTTCGAGGATTGGAATGCACACGATGTAAACAATTTTGATAGCATTCTTGCTTATTTAATTGCAACAATTGCATCTCTTTTTGTTTCTGTTTCTGTCTCTGTTTTAGATTGAAACGTTGAACAAGTATTTGTTTTTGACCTCGAAGCCGGCCATCTATTTGGTCAATCTGTCGGACAAGGATTTCATACGTAAGAAGAACAAATGGCTGCCAAAGATCAAGGAGTGGATTGACAAACACGATCCGGGCGCCCTCCTCATCCCCTTTTCGGGCTCATTCGAACAGCAGCTAACCGAAAAGGATGAGCTGGAGCGCAAGGCCTACGAGGAGGAGACGAAATGCAAGAGTCAGCTAGAGAAGATCATTATTACGGGCTATAAGGCACTACAACTGGAATATTTCTTCACTGCTGGGCCCGATGAAGTTAAGGCCTGGACAATACAAAAGGGCACCAAAGCGCCACAGGCCGCTGGACGCATTCACACCGATTTCGAGAAGGGCTTCATCATGGCCGAGGTTATGCATTTTGAGGATTTCAAGGCCGAGGGCAGCGAAGTGGCCGCCAAGGCAGCTGGCAAATATCGCCAGCAGGGTCGCAACTATACCGTCGAGGATGGCGATATCATATTCTTCAAGTTTAACGCCGGAGCTGGTCTGAAGGATGCCAAGAAGAAATGATACCGTCTTGTCGCCTACATCATCATGTGGACCATCCTTTACATGAATTTAATTTTATACTCGCAACTGTTTCGCTTCGCTTGATACGCTTTTCTAATGTCACCCAATTATTGTACTTTTGACCCAGGCGGAAATGCATTTGTGTTTTTATTTTTATTTTGTATGCTGCATGAGTTTTATGTTTCTAATTTCATTGTTAGAAATACCAGCGCTGTGGTTTGGAGAGTAAAATAATTGGTTACAGTATACAAAATAGACTTGAGTCTTTTGAGAGGGGAGTGATTGGTGTGTGTTTGGTCTTCCAGGAATAATGAGAGCGTGTGAAAAACTAAATCACACAACTTGGGAAGGAATTGGAAACTTGAGAAACACAAAGGTGAAAATTCCAAAGGAACATCAAAGCCAAAGTCAACCAAATATAGGTTGCTGGTAATCTCCCTCGAAGATTGGTAAATGTATACAGCCCGTATTTTGAGATGATTTATAATCAATTGATCATAAGATTATTGTTAGATTAGATTAGATAGAAAACATGATTCCTTCTAAGCCATCTTAAGACAATGTTCTGTTTGATTATTGTTTTAGCATAAGCTGCAGAAACGTGAAAGTAAGTGGAGTTATAGTTGCATACGTAACCACAACCACAACCCAAGTTTAAATTAATGCATGTAATTACCTCTCTGATATGAAGTTCAAGTTAAGGCAACTTAAGTTTATTCTTAAGCATTTAATTACAAATATAAATTTTAATGGGTTCGGTTAATACTGCATACGTTTCAGCTTAAGATTAAATTAACATATTTCATATTTCTATTAAGATTACTTTAGTTATCATCTGTCTAAAACATAACAAGTAGAACTACAATATTAATTTCTTCGCTCAATTTTTTAATTCAGTTAATTATTTATTTTGCAGGGTCATTGAAGAAAATTCGAAAGACAAGCGTGTCACCCAATACCTTGCAAGGCTGCAAATGCTGCCACAACTCGATGGTTTTAAATCCAACACCTGCACTGTATTCAGTCTACAATTAACGTCGTGACCAACCACGTCAAAGGTGTGGATATCTCCCACATTATTGGCGGGCAGTTTGCATCACCCGCAGAGTTTCTCATCGAGTGTCAGAATACAAATATTTGACTTAACCTGTAATATTTGAATTTAAAAACCAAGATCCCAACAAATAAAATTCAATTATACTGCTTTATTAAAATATTATAATTATTAAGCAATGCGTTTTACTAATGGCATATATTGTATACATTGGGGATTATATAGATGCCGAATGGCAGAAAGTATTTTCCGAGTGAGCCTAAAAGTATGCCGCTTATTTTGCATGACTATCACTATCCGGATGTTTTTTATATAAAAAATATAAAAATATTATAATCAATATGTTGACTCTCTTTGAAAGGGATGAAAGTACTTCAAACAGCTGAAATAAAATGATTTTATCTAAAACAAAAACAAGAATTTTTTGATTTCGATTCAATTTTATTCGCTCTGCGGGTGATATTTTTTTAAGCATTTGGTCTCTTCGTTGCCCGAATAATCCTAAAATTCAGTTGGATAGAGTTCTTCCTTGCGATTCTATTTGCATCGCGTCCTTCGAAAATCGGCGATGATTTTGCTGTGTTGTTATTTGATTAGTTGTTCTGAGTGCCCCTAAAAGTATGCCAATTTTTATATTCAGATAATAACCAAAGCCAAAACTTGGGTTCTGTGATGACATCGGACTGATTAACGCTGGTTTCTTTGGTGTCCCATATCAGATCAATTATCTTGGGCTGAGCAATTCAAGCGTAAACTGATAAGCGCTCATCTGTTGAAAGAGTGTATTGCTCAAACGGATGGCTGTCTTCAGTGTGAATGCTTCGTTTGCCGGCAAAGTTTTTAATCTGCTTGCCACAGCAACTAAGACATTAAGCACCTGTGTTAAGAGTAGCTAATACCGGCCCCGGAACCGCATGCCACGCTAATGGTTTAGAGGAAGAGGTACGGTCGTTGAGGCGGGCCAGGTTGGGGAGGTTGGGTGAGGTGAGGTATGCGTAAATGCAGCTACAAAGCGGACAAAAAGCGATGGTGCAAGTGTTGACGGGGAATGGCGTCTGTCGTTGGTCTCTGGTTGCAAGTTCTTGAGCACATAATTTGGCTTACCGCATTTGCCAAACACACACACACACACACACACATACAAACATACATATATTTGTACGAATTTATACACAGTCATATGAGTCATATGAGTACACTGATAAAATGAAATTGATTTAATATGTGGAAAAAACATGCCAGGAGGCAGGTATCTCAACTTTACGTAGACGAAAACAGGCTTAGATAAAAATTGATTTTGCTTTTGTTTAGAGTTCAAAAAAACTTTCGAGTTGCATTTCGATTTTCATTTTATAATGTGTTTTTTTTTGTTTCAAATAGTATTTTTTTCTGAGTGTATGTCCCCAGAAAACACGCATCAGCTGCCTCTTCCCTATCAGCTCCATACACCTTCTTGTTTGTTGGCATACAAGCACACAGACACCCACACACACATACAAACATACAAACATACAAACATACAGGCACACACACTCTTTGTGAATGTTCTTGTGTTGTTAATCTTTTCCCGTAAGAAAGTTTCCTTGGCAATGTGCACAGTGGCAAAAAAGGAGAACTTTTGTGCCAAAACGCAGTAATTATGCAATATCTTTACAATATATTAGAAAAATGTAGATTATAAAACTGCAATGTTAGAAAATAGGTGCTGTGCAGTAAATAGAATCATTATGTGAATTCGTAGAATAAAACTTTGAGTTTGAACACTTTTGCGAACATTTAGTTTCTTAGTATTTATTTGTGTGTTAGGATTGGTATGTATTTATATAATGAGTTTTGAATGCATACTGTTTTACATTGATTGATATATGTGTATACTTATCTTAAGGAAGCTCAATGGGATAATGTATGCAGTATGCAATTCAATCGGCACTTCACCACGGTGCTTTAAAAATGCATCCTTTGCGACTGTTGGACAAAACTTTTGCGTGTGGCCCAAAACAAGCCAACTTTTCATATGAAATGTGCCAAATTACATATAGATCTCTGTGTGCTTGCATGTGTGTCTGTGTCTGTGTGTGTGTGTGTGTGTGTGTGTGTGGGTGTGTGTGTGTGTGTATAAACATTCCAAGACACAAGCCGATAAAAATATTTAGAATGTTTTATTAACTCAACGCACAGAGGGGCTAAGGAAGCGAAGGATCTGAAAATGCAATTGCGTGAAGTTGCTGCAGTTAATTAAAGTGTAATGCCTGCGAGCTTTTACTATTCTATTTATATATGTGTGTGTGTGTGTGTGTGTGTGTGTGTGTGTGTGTGTGTGTGTGTCCTTGTGGGAGGTGCTGTACTGTGTGTACATGGACCCGGCCAACGTTGACACGGCCATCAAAGGAGCATGAAATATGGCCACTAAACTGAGCGCAGCAAAATGGCCATAAGCAAAATAGGCAAAATGCCCAAGCGCCGTCAACAAAGAGGCCAACACAAATCATAAAGAACATAAGAAAAAAAGCAAATCTATGACAAACTATTCCGTTCGAAGCATAAATGCTCTATTATATGAATTATTTTATTCAGTTCTATGGAAAAAAAACTAATTTGTGTATATTATTTTTGAATACATTATTTCTTACAGATGACGCTTGTAGTCGATAAAGTTAAGATATATTATATTATATATTATATTTATTATCTGTAAGTGTATCTCGATAAAACTTGGCAAATATTCACAGGACCGTTTTGACTCCGTTTTGTAATCGTCGACGTTCTTCAGATAGCCTTATTTTCTTGTAATATTTTTTTAAATATATAAATTTTTTCATTATAAAATATATAGCGCTCTGATTGAAAGAAAGAAATTTCATAATCTTAGTACAGAAAAAATGACTTAATCTCTTTGAAAAACAAATTTGCAAATCAAACAAATCATTTTAATTTAAAGTGTATTACTTGGCTGGTTCGATATTTATCCGATCGCTCTTCAGCACTTTTGTTTGGCTTGATTGTTTTCCACATTTGCTTTTTGAAGATCAATTTTTTCCATGTATCCTTTTGCCTTTTATAAAGCGGTTTGTTGAGCTTTTAAATAGATTCAGCAGTTGAAAATCCTGTAATTTATTGAGGTGTGCCATGCCATAGAACAAAATAAGGTGCTTAAATGCGAATACAAATCGCAATAAATCAAAATCTCAAGTCACCGAAACCAACACAAAAGCAAGATTCTGAAAGCAGCTGTCAAACTATCCAATGGAAATGTCAAATGTCGCATCTGATAAGGCAACTTGGTTAGTGGTTATGACGTAAGTATTGTCAAAAGTCTCAACTAGGGCATTCTATGATCTGTATTTACTGTGTATTACTGTGCATAATGCAGAAAAGTGAATTCTTTACAAAATGCACTAGATGGCAACTTAAATTGCCATTGGCTATTTGGTTGCAGCATTAGTTGCACAAATAGCCAAATTTATTAAAGACTTAGTTAATTAAATTGTCTTTTGGCCAAGTGCGGTGAGGCAAATTATGAAAAGCCTTTCAGCAACACACTCAACACGAGCGTTGAGCATTGGTGATTATCTTCAGCAAAGGCTAATTGATGTGGTAATTTAAGTGTATGTGCATCTTATTTAGTGGACGAATGCGTTGCAAAGTGCACAAAAAATTGGTGGCATCCTAACTGACTGTTTGGCGAGATGGAAAAGCAAACGCAGCAAACGTTTTGTTTGCTTGCCTTGCCGTTTGTCAAACGGCATTCATACACTCAATTCAAAAATTCATTCAATTCAATTGAAAAATGGCGTTGAATATTTGACGTATGGCATGGCAAGTGAGTGGGCGGGGTGATTAAGGGACACATCAGCTGTCACAGGCAGACAGTGTCGGGCATCGAGCATCGGGCATCGGGCTGGGTGTTGGGCGTCCGTCACCAAGGGAGTTGGGCGTCGTTGGGCATCGTCGTCAAGCGTCTACAAAACGTTCTCGTTGGTGGCCAGCAAAGCGTTAAAAATTACTGTCATAAATTAATGAGCGATGCCCGATTAAGTGACGCATCGAAATTGAATTGAATTTTGCTGAATTTCGCTGAATTGCGCTCATTATTCATTTACAGATGCTTT